CTTGTAAAGGTCCATCTCACAGTGGATCCTAAGAAACTGGCTGCAGATGCCGTCCGATCCGTCCACCCAGACTCTGCTGGCCTCTCGGTTCCCCCGGACTGTAGGACCGCCTGAATGCTGGGCAGAACTCCTCCCAGAGCGATGGCCACTCCTCCCAGCAGTCTGCCGAGCTCCTCGTCGCTGCGGACAGCCAACTGTAGGTGCCGAGGGACGATCCCGTCCTTCCGCTGTCATGAGCCAAGTTTCCTGCTAGTTCCAGGATCTCAGTGGTCAGGTACTCGAGCACAGCTGGCAGGTAGATGAGAATGCGTCCACGGAACATCCTTTTCAACTCATTTGAGATATGGGGCTGTAGTTGAGATATTATTTGAGCTTTTGAGATGTTAATCAGCTGTTGGTTGTAGAAAACTGCCTTGTTGCCATGGTTACGCATCATAACAAATGTCCAAAACTAAAAAAGTTTCAGTAAAAATCCTTCCAGCTGCACAGCATCTGATACCAGAGGAAACAATCATCCAAAAAAATGTGATTTACATCCAGAAAAAGAGGAATTAAAGTTTCCAAAAACAAAATCTCAGAATGAAAGTAACAGAGCTGCTCCAACATGCAGACACCTGGAGCGGTGCAGTTCTAGAACTTCTAGAATAAAATTTTTACAGGGAAAGTTAAAAGGGGAGGGGGTAAAACTGGAAAATAACACGGGTTGAGAGATTTAATTCTCACGCTATACGATAATTCAGCCCTTCAAGCAGATTTTCAAATTGTGTTTGAACACAACATCAAATTAAGACACTTTTATACCTCATGTTAAGATTTTGGGCTCAAACTTCAATTATTCAAAAAGGAAACATTCAGATTACACTATGAATCTGTGCCAAAAGTAACATCCGTTTGTATCTTCTTGTGTTTGCACTTGTAATCTACATAATTTATTATATCTACGTAATGTCTTTTACACGAAAACATCTCAAAGCCAAATAAAATATTGAGCTTTACGGTGTCTGACATGTTCTCTTAGTCAGGAGGTGTCACTTTACAAATGCAGACTTACTGAAGTTGTGGCCAGCAAGTGAACTGGGCTCAGGACTGGAGTCTGGTTTGGTTCACAGCTGAGACCCAGAGAGGTGATGATCTCTGTCAGGATTTCATGTCGCAGGGAACTGCTGACCTTCAGCTCTTCAGAGTCTTCTGAATCCAAACCGTGGGAACCTGGTCCAATGTCAAAACGGACCTGCAGAAACATACACACAAATGCATGAATAAAACCTAAACGTGTCTTCATTATTATTCAAAGTGAATGTGTAAGGGTTGAGACTTGTTTAAGTGTTAACACTGAACTTTGTTTGATGACCTTACGACTGGACTCAAGTGAACGTGTCATAAAAAGAATGAAGTCACGACTCTGCAGTTTGGAGCAGCCAACAAACAAACAACACTGTCCTGCATTATTTTGCTGCTGACCTCGTCCCATAGCTTCAACACACATGCACTGAGGCTCTGTGTCGTGCACATTAACGTGCTGATTGACGCAGTTGGAGAAAATAAATCATGTAGATTGATTAGTGTGGTGGGGTGTATCCCTGAACCTCACAGGCCATTTATTGCTCAACTGGTCACAATAAAATACCACAACTCAGCAGTTTGTTTGTTTTTTACCCACTTTTCCAGTGAGGTGGGGAGGGGACACCTGGTGGGGAGGGGACACCTGGTGGGGCGTGGACACCTGGTTGGGAGAGGACACCTGGTTGGGAGAGGACACCTGGTGGGGAGAGGACACCTGGTGGGGCGGGGACACCTGGTGGGGAGGGGACACCTGGTGGGGAGGGACACCTGGTGGGGAGGGGACACCTGGTGGGGAGGGGACACCTGGTGGGGAGGGACACCTGGT